GCTTTTTTTTTTTTTTTTGGAGACAGTCTCACTCTGTTGCCCAGGCTAGAGTGAGTGCCTTGGCATCAGCCTAGCTCACAGCAACCTCAAACTCCTGGGCTCAAGCGATCCTCCTGCCTCAGCCTCCCGAGTAGCTGGGACTATAGGCATAGCTCATTTTTTCTATATATATTAGTTGGCCAATTAATTTCTTTCTATTTATAGTAGAGACAGGGTCTCGCTCTCGCTCAGGCTGGTTTCGAACTCCTGCCCTCTAGCAATCCGCCTGCCTGGGCCTCCCAGAGTGCCAGGATGACAGGCATAAGCCACCGCGGCCCGGCCAACCGCTTATTCCGGCAGACGGGTCGTGGCTCTCGTCTGGCTTGTGCCATGTCTGGGAGGTGATACCTGCTCAACCACCGCCCCTGGCGCTGGGACCCGGACCTGTGTCCTCCCAGCGTCCCTAGGAAACCCAGCCTGGACGAGCCCTGGTCTCAGAGGGAAGGCACAAGTTCAATAACACCACTGCAGCAGGAAGCAAGTTCGGAGATTTATTACTTTCGCGGTCCTGAGCAGGGGCCGTGAGTCGCGGAGGGCAATCCTCCGTCCCCAGGCCACCCTAGGGGAAGCGAAGAGTCCAGAGAGAGAGGAGATGCCGCCAAGTTTCAGCTCTGGCCGCTGGCTCGGCCGTTGGCGTGGCGCTCTCCTTCTGGCTCCCGGCAGCCGCCCCTGCTGCGTCCTTCCTGTCCAACCGTCCCTTCACACGAGACAGGCAAGAGTAGGGTGCCCGGGACAGGCGCCGAGAAAGTGGTGCTGGGTGCTGAGGAGGGGTCTCTGGGCTGCGCGGTGCCTGAGCGGCAAGCACCCTGTCACTGCGTTTTTGCAAGTGCACACACATGTATGTGCACACAATGTGTCCACATGCACGTTTGTGGTGTGCATGGTGTACGCACGCGTGTGCTTGTGGGAAGTTGCAGGAGCTGCTCGATTGACTTGGTGAGCCCGGGCTGCCAGAGGAGGGGGGTCCCGCTGGTCCACAGTGCCTTCCTGCAGAGGGTGAGCTGGCTGGGGCGCCTGGGCCAGCTCTGCAACCACCTCTGCAAC